CCTTCCTTCCTTCCTTCCTTCCTTCCTTCCTTCCTTCCTTCCTTCTTTGAGACAGGGTTTCTTAGTAGCTATGGAGCCAGCCCTGGAACTCGCTCTGTACTAACTCTTAAAATTAGAGAGAAAGACTTATTTTCAGTTTGTCTAGTGGAGCCCCTGGCTGAGGTCTTGCAGGAGGAGCTGAGGGGGCCTGGGTGGTGGTGGGGGGCTATGCTTTTAGGATAGAAACTCTTACTTCCTTGATTTTGAACTTTGAACTCTTAAATTCTGATTGGCAAGATTCAGTTGTGGATAGCACAAGTTTAATTGAGTCAGTTTAAGGGTTGAATGACTTCCAAGGCCTCATTTTCTGGAAATTATCTGCATATTGGGGTAGCCTTGAACTTACAGAGATCCACTGGCCTCTGCCTCCCATGTGCTGAGATTAAAGATGTGCACCAGCATGTCTGCGCCCCCAGCCTTTTTTTAATTTGTAGCTTCTCCCACAATGATTGTCATTATCCACAGTGCGTTTATATACTTATTTTAATGTACTTAAGAATTGCTAATCCATACATTTGTCACCATGTAACTTCTCATCTAAATTGGAACACTTTATTATAATAGTTGACAGAAGCCTGGACTTTGACAGTGGAAGCATGGCTTCCTGCATATTGTATATAATACTAATACTATTGATTTATTATCTTTATGTCTTTTTTTCATTTCCCTGTTAAGGTTTCCTAAAAATTTTTGTTGTTGTAGTTGAGTGATGTAGAAATCACTCTTAGAGACATGTTGAGTAATATAGATGTTTTCTAGAAGATACTTTCTATAATCATAATAGACCACATTGTTGAAAATACCAAGTTCCATCACTATTATGTGGGAGAAAGCCCTGTTTTGTTAAGATCACTGTTAATGAGTTAAAATTGGATTTCCTCGGGTTTCCTTTGAGAAGATATTATTGGCATTTAGTACTTCAGAAATATTAGGTCTTAAAAAATAATTTGAGCAAAGAACCACTCATGTAATTTGTTTGTCTGGTGCATAATGACATTTCTTTCTTCAGGTGGACATACGTTTGCAAAATGGATTTGCTCCTGGCATGAAGCTGGAGGTAGCTGTGAAAAAAGATCCTGAAACTTACTGGGTTGCCACCATCATTACTGCCTGTGAGCAGTTGCTCCTACTCCGTTATGAAGGCTATGGGGAAGACCGGAAAGCAGACTTCTGGTGTGATATTAGAAAAGCTGGCCTCTATCCCATTGGCTGGTGTGAGCAGAATAAGAAGACCCTTGAAGCTCCAGAAGGTAGTAAAATATTTCCTTTCAAGGTGTGATGGGATATTGCTGTAAGAAAATTTAGATTGGCCACAGCCTCGAGGATTGTCGGGCTACTCCTACATAGATGTACACAGCTTTTTAGGCTAATTTTTTTGTTTGTTTTTTTGGTTTTCTTTGTGTAGCCCTGGCTGTCCTATAACTAGCTTTGTAGACCAGGCTGGCCTTGAACTCACAGAGATTTGCCTGCCTGTGCCTCCTGAGTACTGGGATTAAAGACATACGACATCACCACCCAGCTTAGGCTAACATTTTTGATGAAAAATTTTATTAGGAGTAATGTATGGTCATTTCCCTCTTTTTTGTTTTTGTTTTTTTTTTTTAAAGATTTTATTTATTATGTATACAATATTCTGCTTCCATGTATATCTGCACACCAGAAGAGGGCACCAGATCTCATAACGGATGGTTGTGAACCACCATGTGTTTGCTGGGAATTGAACTCAGGACCTCTGGAAGAGCAGTCAGTGCTCTTAACCTCTGAGCCATCTCTCCAGCCCCATTTCCCTGTTTTTAAACCAAAATCATATTATATATAATTTCTCGTAACACTTTAGTTTTTTATTTAATTTTTTGTTCTTTTACTCTTTGTATGTGTGCCTGTGTGTGTGTTTGTGTGCATGTACAGAGGGGCACCCACTAAAGCCAGAAATGGGTGTCAGGTCTCTTGGAACTGGAGTTACAGACAGTTGAGATCTTCAAGTGTTGGGAATCAAACTCAGGTCCTCTAAAAGAACAGCCAGTGCTCTTTTTTTTTTTTTTTTTTTTTTTTGGTTTTTCGAAAAAGGGGTTCTCTGGGGTTTTGGGGGGTG